CTGATCTTTGAATCATTTGTTTTCAAACGGTTTGCTGCTGCCTGTTTGGACCTTTCTGAACATGTGCAGCAAATGTTTATTTCTATAGTTCCATTTCACATCATTTCATCTCAGGTCACTTTATAGAGATAATTCAACCAGATCATTCAGTCAGATTGGTTCAAAAATTTTCTATCGAAGGAAAACCAGCTGATTGCATCGACTCAATGACTCGAATAATCTGTTTAAATTAATAAAAAAAAACACACACATTGATAATTTATACAATTTTTAAAAAATTCTTTATATTTATTTAGAGCATATGAAATATTGTTGTTTGTAGTTACCTTAACCCTTTATAGGGCAATCAGTGAAATACTTTGAAAATACAAAATTCAACCCAATAGTGTTATTGGAATCCAGGACAAGACCTTATTACCTTTGGAACTATCAAATAATATGGATATTTTGATGGCAAAGATTAATGTCAGTGTATTAACAAGAAACACCAACACCCCCGAATATATTGAGAAAAATAACAAAAGTCATTCTATAAATTAGAATTCTAGAAATTAATGAAAAACACTCTAAGAGTGAAAGAAACTGGAACGGGAACTTACATCTTTTAGTTTATAAACCTAAATATAATTGTTAACTAGACTTATTAACTTTTGAACTTTACTTTTTAACTTATCAATTAGCTTTTTATTTATTTATTGGTTTATCAACGTTTTTCCAAATAAATTTGCAGTAGTTAATATGTCATTCAAGGGCTCATCTGATTGGTCATTTATACCCCCCATTTGTGAGGGGTACAAAAAAAACGCTAACTTGCCTTTCCCATGAGTTTCTAATTGAATGGTTGTGGTCATAAAGTGAAAAAAATGTGAAAAAGTTCAAGCGGTATGAATACTTTTGCAATCCAGTGTAAATACTAAGGCACTAATAGGAAACCAGAGGTTCGGCTGCCTTTGACTGCTGGCAATATTAGTGGTTAAGTTTTTTTTCAGTAAATATACCTCTGATATTTTAATGTTTCTATAAATCAAAAGACCTGCAGGTAAAACCTGATTAAACCACAAATGAATAAGAATATAAACTGTTCATCCTGAATTTAATTCAGTGATATTTATTCATACAGTGGCAATATATAACTCGTCATTTTGGGCCATTTAACTTAAAATAAGACATGTTGAAGGGTTAGGGCATATTTACTAAACACGATTAAGATGTGTGCAACTGCATCAAAGTAAAAAATAAATAAAAAGAAGTAAAAAATAAAATTACTAAAATAGTATGCAGATATGCTCTCTTTTCACATGTGCAAATCACTAGCACCTTGTTCAATATTTTATGATAGATTATCAGGATTATCTGTTCACACATAGTAGTAAAAAATACTAACATTTCTGATTGCTTTGTTGAATTTATTGTAGTTTAAAAATACTGTAATTATCCCAGAGGGACATGAAATCTTGCAGTAACTCATAGGATTTTGTACAATTTTACCAGAAGATTATCATTATACTTAATAATTAGAGCCGGAAGTGATAGCTAATTAATAGGTAATTGAAATCAAGGGTAAAACTAACTCATTATTATCAGTGGAATGATTATAGCTGTAATTTGTTTACTGAAAGCTAAACACTACAGAAAATAAGCATAAATGAACAAATAAAAGAAGAAAAGGGGTTTAAAAGTCAGTTTAAAGTCAAAAGAATATTTGAATTTTAAGGCTTAAAGGAGGTCTTCAAACAGGGGGTCCACGGAGGTACTGCATGGGGGTCGCGAAAGTTTTGATCGATTAGACTTTTTTTTTTTTTTATATTTTCCTGCAATTTTTTCCACTAATTGAAATGTCTTTAAATCCACATTAACATGATTTCAACAAACTGTAGTAAACAGATAAAGAAGATGTCTTTCAGTCATCAATGCACACATTCAGCGACACACAGGAGCTCTTTCAAGCTGGTCACCGTTTCATTCACAACAACTGTCCCATCAACCAGGAATCAGAAATACTTTAATAATCCCAGGAATAAATTACTTTAGTTACATTACTGCATCACTATAACACTATTTCATACAATATATATAATTAGGGGGTCCCTGCTGCATCTCGCCATCAGTTTGGGGGTCCTTGGCCTGGAAAACGTTGAAGATCTGTTGCCTAATGCATGGAAAGTGTCTTTTAGAATAGAAGCAGATAAATGTGAATGATCCCTGATGCAGAGATGTTAACTGCAGTCATAACAGTCCAGCTTTATTTGGTTTTATGGTGAAAAATAAAAAATGACTCAGGAACGCATTCAACTGTGATGAGGAAATGGGTTAGGGTTCGGCTAAAACAAAGAAAGGTAAGGGCTCACGATGCGGCCAGCATGATGCAGCTGGAGCTAACAATGCTAGCCAGTCCACTGTAGCAGATTATTAAGACCCACGTGGCTAATACCGTCTACACAGTGAGCATTAGCATTACTGTAAGTTAAACTCTTAAAAACATTAAAAGTTGAATAAGAAAGTTTATTTGATCTATTCTACCTAATTCACCCAAGCAGAGTACTTATTAAAAGAAAGTCCGGTCATGTTCAGAATTCTAACTGAATTCTAACTTCTGAAAGTACTTTAAATATGAAATTATTCCATACTGTTCAATAAATGATAAGTGTTTCTAATTAAGAGTAATTTTCCCTTGAATGTGCTTTACTGGAGGCATCCATGTTTGTCAAAGAACACTACTGCCACCTACTGGTTAGTGACGTCACGGTGCGGTATCGGCTGTTGATCAAGTCCCAGTGCTGTATCTGGGTTTTGTCACAACGCGCTATTATCCAAGTCATCTTGAAAACATTCTTCTTCCAAATGTTGGCTACATATTACGGGTTATTTCTCTGAGCAGAAGTTCGATGGCAAATCCTCCCTCTTCACGTTGGCGATCCAACGACAAACCCGTCCGTGGAGGATCAGGAATCAGAAAGGTGAAATAACTCTTCTTTTTCTGGTGAATTTTAATGGTGAAGTCCTCTGGAAATCTTCAATAATTGTTGTTGATTGCAGATGTGTCTAGTAGTTCCCATTGATTTAGCTTGTAAAGCGGGGAGAATGGCGCTAGGCTTACCGCACCGTGACGTCACTGCTGGAAGATGGCAGGAGGGAGGGGTTACTATATTTGGGCAAAAATGGCCGCTCCCAGATTCAGTGATCGCAACGAAAATTATAATTTTTTATTTTTTACTGATTACCATGAAATTAAATCATTAGATCACAGCGAATGCAGTAGTTTTATGTTTAAATAATGATCCATTGATTATTCCTTGCTGACCGGAGTTTTCCTATAAACACTGCCCCTCTAAGCTCCAGGCTCATAAACTTTTACAAACATTTATTGACCAAAGGTCAAAAGGTCAAATTTGAATGTATTCCACCATTTTAGTTATTATTAATTTTTTTAACAGATGGGAGAACTCTGTATCTCTCCCTGATGGATGGCTGAAAGAAGTGTGCGATTACAGAGCTTTGATTTCCTCCGTGTTTTAAAATGTGTTGTAGCAGGTAAAAGTTGAAAACACCAGGTTTTTGCCTCATTCTGTGCGATTTTTTATACAATTGTTGCTGCTCCTTTATTAATGTTAAAGCGGGGAGAATGGCGCTAGGCTTACCGCACCGTGACGTCACTGCTGGAAGATGGCAGGAGGGAGGTGTTACTATATTTGGGCAAAAATGGCCGCTCCCAGACTCAGTGATCGCAATGAAAATGATTGTTTTCATTAACAGTAAATTCATTAAATCACAGCGAAAGTATTAGCTTTAGGTATAAATAATGATCCATTTTATTCCTTACTGACGGACTTTTCCTTTAAAGCACAGCGAGATGCTGACACCAAATGTAGCTTCTCACAAACATACACGGCCTGTTTGTGTGCTGGAGATGATGCAGCTGTGCAGAAACAGACACTCAGCAGCGACTCAATGCTCAGCACAGAAAACACGCTTCAGATGTTTCTACTTCACAAATCCAAGGTTCCCCTAAAAACACTCCACATAAATAATCACATCTGGCTACAGATTGATTTGGCTCAGACCTACTCAGTTAGACAGTTAGTTCCTTTCACTCCACTGAAACACATCATATACATTAATTACACAAAGTCTTATGGTTTCCAAACAGGTAATTATAACAAAAATTAAAACATTACCATCGTGATTTACAAAATGACATCAGAACAATAAAAAAAAATAAAACCCAAATAAATTCAACGATGTGAGCTTGATGTATATGATATTTAAGGTTATTTTAATCTGTCCCTGTAGGACTGATTAAAAAGCATATTTTCTTTTATTGAAAATACTTGTTTGATTAGAGTATTTCTTTTACCGGCAGAGGCTCATATTTCTGTTGTGTTGAGTCTTTTCTCAGCTGTTGTACGACATTAACGGACGAGACGGTGCATCTTTATTGCTTTTGACCAGACTGGAGTTTGGTTCCTCTGCAGGCGCTCCCTATTTAGCCTTCTTTTACCGTCTCAAACAAAGGATCCTGCCCCCACTTTGTGCAACCGCCCACAAAAACAGGTCCTGAATAAAGTTAGGCCTTAAAACTTACCTTGAGACTGCTGCTGGGTAGCCTCACTGCAGATTTGTTTGTTAATAGTTCAATTAGATAATTGCCATCTTTCACTCTTTTTCTTCTCCGTTTCCCATAAAGCAATGAATAGCACTCAAGGAGGGGTGCAGCGTGAAGAGGGCTTTTTGCCAGCTAAGGTGACAAGAAGGGCCAGAGACCGTTCCTTGCACTAGACCACCACTTTGAATTGAATCATTGTGGCCTAATCAATGGTCTTATTGGATTACTGGCCACTGCTGTGTTCAGAGTTATTGTTGCACTGACAATGAAAATAGCTAAGAGTTGGTGGTTGGGTGAGTGGGTTGTGGGCTGCAGGGTGAGTGGTAGAGGGAGGCGGGGGCCATTCCAGGGGTATGCATGTGAGCTGGGAGTGTAGACAGCCTATGCACTAATGACAAGTGTTGTCTGTCTTTTCTTTGCTCCGGAATATGCAGGTTAAGATTAGAAGCGCTGAGCGCGGCTTCTTGGGTGGACTGTGGGTATCCTGCAGGGCCAGGCTTTAACAGGACGAGGTGTTTCTTCTCTGACTGAACTCATGGCAGCCAAAGACAAAGACAAAGTTCCAGACATTGCTGTGTTGGAGGACAAGACTTGTTTGCTATTGCTTTTGTAAATTTTGCTCAATGATGATTTGTTAGTTATCCTTCCTTCTCTCTCTCTCTCTCTCTTTCTGCCACCCCCCGACCCCTCCCCACCCACCTCCTCATCTCTCTCCCTCTCTACTCTTCTTGCTCTCTTCTACCTCCTCCAATGGCATAGCGGTGAGATTTGCACATTGCACAGTTCCGTGGGTTGCCAAAACAGAAAAAACAGTATCAAAGTTTGCCGATAGGCTGTGACAATCAGGTGTGCTGCTGGGAAATGTCTGCCTGCGTCCTGCAGACGGAGGGATGAAGCGCCAAGGAACTTTTACCGCCTCTGGAAGACTTTTACCGCAGTGATTGTGCGTGAGCAAGTTGTTTGGTTGAAATACAAGGCCAATCATTTGTCTTGATTTCATGGGCTGAGAAGAAGCGAGCTAAGAGGACGGAACGAACAAAAACCCCTCCATCAAGACCTGATCCATTTCCACAAACAGTTTAGTGTATTCATGAGGTTACGCTAATGTGGAGGCAGCAAAATTACTGTAATCAGTTGAAACAGCGAGTTGCGCATCCATCGCTATGATTATTCGGAGATAATTTATCAGCCCGATGTCTTTGTAACAAGGAAAGGAGGGCGCTAAATTACTGCTGAGTTTTACTGAGAAGTCGGCGATCATTGGACAAGGGAGTTTGGTCAGTGACAATCCACGGTACCATATTCTCCGTAATCTCCTTTTCACCTGACAAAAGGAGGTGAGCCTGAGGTCCAGGAGGATAATCCCAGCATGGAAGTTAGGTACAACCAAGAGACAGAAGCAATGGTACTAAAGAACCGACTAAAGGAGGGAAAAGACGGGAAAGATTCCCAGGGCAACCTGTCCAAAGGCTTCCTGAAGGAACAGCAGGACTCCTTTTCACCGTCTGGGAATATGGAAAACTGTGAGAAGAACAGGGGCGGCTCCGGGGACCCCGACTACTGTCGGAGAATCCTGGTCCGAGGTAAAGATTTTCTCTTTATTTGATTTATGCTCCTGTGAGTCAATTCTGACAGTTTATATTGAAGAAAAGAGGAATTATCTTTACTCTCTAAAAAACCAAAGTATCATCCAGAAAAGGCTGTTAAATGGACCAAGTTATGCAAAATATGATACGAAAACTTAGTGTAGCAGAAAGAATAAAAAAGCTTAATTTTAAAGCAAAATGTTATAAAAAATATTTTTAAGTATTATAGCAAAAACAAAAATGGCTTTAGACAAAAAAACCTGATCAATATTAGTGGCGTTATATGTTATTACTACATATTATTATGTCATATTGAATTTACTTAACAGCAATATATTTGTAGAGATAATTTATTTACATAGAAATCCACTAAATATTTAATTTTCATAAAAATATGTTATAATTATTAGCTTGTACAATTTAATCTAAATAATTTTGGCCATATATAATATTATTATGGTTGTATTTTATCATCATTTACATTTTATTGTCATAATTTCAGATTCTTTAATAATTTTTCTCAAAAATTGAATAAAAATGAATTATTCTTTAAACAAAGAAAAGGTTTTCTTTGTTATAGTTAATGATTTGAGTTATTTAGAGTCAGCTGGAGGGAAACGTGTTCTATATCAGTCAATAAATATCAGGATTTCCTCTTTAGGCCTAAAATTTAAATCTAAAAATCCAGGTTTATATGAACTGAGTGAAAATAAGCTTGTTTCAAATGTGAAAGTGGATTCCAGGATTCCTAAATATTACCACAAACACATGAACATTTATTTTACAACATCATACAGTGTACATTATACATTTACATTTGAAGTCATATTTGTACTTTAAAATAATCAATTTAGAAAGATGCAAAATAAAAAAAAACTATTAATGCCTCAAATGACATCCTATGATTGTTTTATTTAAACATTTAGGATAATGTGAATATTACTGATGTTAATGAGCTGCTACTTGGATCCTCTGGCTGATTCAATGTGCTCGGTGTTGCAGATGCTAAAGGCTCCATCCGGGAAATCATCCTGCCCAAAGGTTTGGATCTGGACCGACCGAAGCGAACGCGCACGTCCTTCACTGCAGAGCAGCTGTATCGCTTAGAGATGGAGTTTCAGAGGTGTCAGTATGTGGTCGGCAGGGAACGCACAGAACTGGCCCGTCAGCTTAATCTCTCAGAAACTCAGGTTTGTTTTCTTTAACTTCAAATTCTCAGGGGTTTTTTTTCCGCCTCAATATTTTGAACTAGGTAGAGCTTACATATACATATATATATATATATATATATATATATATATATATATATATATATATATATAAAAACTGTAACCCAAAACTATTTCCTTTATGCATTTTGCACCAAACATCCCACTTATTGAAGCTCTTTCTGTTTTTTATCGTCTTTTAATCTACAAATAGTTTTGTATTACAAAAGACTTTGAATTGGAATTACAGATTGGTAATCACAGGATACTAATTTGTTATACAATTATTTGTTGTCCTGATGTAAAACATACATTAATGCTGCAAAAACCCTTCCCACATAGATATAAACACGTGTGCATATTTTCAGACGCAGCATTTGACGTGTCTGGATCACAATCATTTTTTAAAAGAAATGAAAAACTTAACTCTCATGCAGCACAAGCAGGTCTGGTAGAGTTACTGCAGTATCGGGTTTGACCCAACAGATCATCTGTTCATTGTTCAACTTGTTCTCCTGCTTGTTTTTCTAAAGCGGCACAGCTTTTGAACTGACGTGATATTTTGTCATTATTGTTAAACCTTTCTGTGGTGATAAATGCTGAAAACGGCGCCATAATCAGCGGCGTCGGCTCGGCCTGTGGGGTTAATGTGTTTGAGCAGAGCTGAAGAAGCCTGACCTTGAGAGAAGGCCTGCGTAAGGTCGGCCTGTTCTACCAAAACAACAGCCGACAACAAACAATCAGCCATTCACTTAAAACCTCATCCGGATGAACTCTGAATCCTTTCCTTTAACTTTTTTTTTTTTTTCCTGCGTTTTAAAATTTAGCATTTTCCATTTAGCTGTTGTCTTTAGGAGATGTATTAGCAGCAAGTGTGCAGCGTAAAGATGTTGCTTTGCTCATAAAAGGTAGAAGAAAGAACAACCTTTGCTCCTTATTTAGACAGAACAAAGCTGAGGCGCTTTCTCAGCGTCTGCTTCACGTACCCATGAAATGCCTTTTAATGACAAGGCGCTGAAATTAACGTTTTGTCCTCCGGCGCTAAGAGGTTATTATATTAAGGAATGGCCGCCACTACCAGCTACACCTAGTTTTTCTTTTACCCTGAAATTGTTTTATCTCCTAAATGAAAACGGCGCTTTTTATGAGAGGAGTCTGCGTCTCTAGCAGGGAGCTGCAGCCCCCCCACACTGTTCCCCACAGCCTGTGAAGAGTTAACTCACATCTTGGTGATCGGCTTTCTGATGCACCAGAATAAAACAGGAGTTCAATCATTAATACAAGATATATTGTTCAAATAATAAGACTAATTATTATCTTACAAGCAAAAAAAGGATAAACAAAAAGAAAAGAAAAATTTAAAAGTTCAGTACATTTTAGAAATTAGATCATAAAAACAGAACATTATATTCTGACCCTAAATAAATATGGTAGACAAAAAATAATAAACTATTAATATTAACTATTACAATAAAATAAACAAGGAACTTGAACATAGGATTAATAATTTAACTCCAACAATTGGTAAAAAGTCAGTTAATATTTCTAGAGAGTTTAATTCTATTTACCTTTTATTTAAGCAGGTAATTTATTGCCAGTTGAATTAATTTATACTAATAATTCATATATTGGGCCAAAAAATACAGTATATTTAAACAGCATTTAAAATAAGATATGGAGTTTTTTTTTCCAATTATAAATGAAAAAAAAAATAATTCTCCAAAATAACTCCAAAATAAATAAAAAAAAAAACATCCTTTTAGTTGATTTTTTGCATAACAATAACATTTTTTGAATGAGAAAGAATTTTACGATAAACTAAAAAGAAACAGTTTTTCTCAGTGACAGCAGATAGAGAAATAAATCCTTTATGTTACCGTATCTTTGTTACTATGAAAAGGGCGATAATCTTTACACCTCTCACTGAAAAAATATAGAAATCTACATTATTATTTTTTTCTTAAAATAAGCAGATTTTTTTCTTAAATTGAACAGGAAAGTGAGACAGTTGCCAATGGAACAAGAAAATTTACATTTAGAATAAGAAAAAAACAACTGTATTGTCTTAATTCAAGTGCATATTATCTAATTATCTTATTTTAAAAGTAAAAATGATCATTCCATTGGCAGATCCTCTAATTTACCTGCTCAGATTAAAGGTAAATACACTTAATTTAAGCCATTTTTACTTATTTCTAGATCGTTTTTGCAGTGGATACAAATTATCCAGAGTAAGAAAAGATTTCCTTAAATAAGCACAAATATGAGCAGGCCAGTTCAATAGAATCCATATTTTAGTCTTTTTGATCCTAAATAAGATCATTAGATATTATTCACTTAAAATAAGAAAACAGGGTTTTTGCTTTTTTATCTTAAATATACTTGATCTTTTCTTATAATCAAAGGAAAAAAACAAAACAAGTCTTTGATGAACAACTGAAGAACTTTTTGGTAATTTTTCTCCAGTGTTGTAACTGCAGACATTTTTACCAAATAATTAAATCTATAAATGAACCCAAAAGATTGTTGAAAGCTGCCACAAGCTGACGGGGGCTTTGGATTGCCCGGCCAGGCGTTAACCTTTGTTGCACCTTAGGCAGCTCAAATTAAGAGGCGGTTAGCATGTGAAAGGGAAGCTCTGAGAAAGTTTTGATTGAATTAATATCATGTGTTGGATAACAATAGGTTCTCTATTTCTGGGAGGGAATTAAGTCAGTGCCTACTGAGGTTTGTTTCACTGCTGACGGTGTTCAGGCGTGTGTAGGGGCCTGCTAATCCTTTATCAGATAAGTTAATAGATTCTTCTTAAAATAAGTGCATTTTACCTGCATTTGAGTAGGTTGGTGAGGCTGTTTACCAATAAATAAGATATTTGCTCTTAGAAAACGAATAAACAACCATAATTTTCTTTAAGGGATGACATTAATCATCGCATTGGAAGCTCATCTTATTGTTACAAACTTTTTGCAGCTTGAGAGGCGGTTTTTATATCAGAAATGAGAAACCTGAAGGTAGACGGATCTATGTGAAGAGGATCTGACTGGACTGAATCTGAGGGTTCTCCCATGTGCTCTTTTCCAGGTGAAGGTCTGGTTTCAGAACCGCCGCACCAAGCAGAAGAAGGACCAGGGAAAGGACTCCGAGTTGCGTTCTGTGGTTTCAGAGACGGCTGCGACTTGCAGCGTGCTCAGACTGCTGGAACAGGGGCGGCTTCTGACACCTCCGGGCCTGCCGGGCCTCCTGCCCCACTGTGGTTCTGCCCTGCGCCCCCCCTCCATCACCATGGCCAGCAACAGCAGCAGCAGCAGCAGCAGCAGCAGCAGTGGAGGCAGCGGCGGGACGGCTGGCGGTAGCCCACCGCTGCCCGCCGTCACCGCTTCAGGGACGGCGGCCGGGCTGCAAGGCTCACAGACGGCTCACGGCTTTTTCAGTTTCCCGCTTCCATCCATTTTGAGCGGCGTGGCGACCCGCATTTCATCCAACCCCCTTTCAATGGCCGGCTCTTTGGCGGGAAACCTCCAGGAGCTTTCTGCACGTTACCTGAGCTCCTCCGCCTTCGAGCCTTACTCCCGGACCAATGGCAAAGAAGCCATGGACAAGAAAATTCTGGAATGATGGTTTGTGTATTGATTCTGGTACGGATTCCTGTTGCTTCTGGAAGACTTTAGTTTGTTTGACTCGTCCGTTCCTGTCTTTGTTTGGTTCCACCAGGTGTCATCTGTCGGTGTCATGTTCTCTAACAGCTTCTGTATTCCCGCATATCTGGCATCTTGTTCAAGGCAAGAAGAAGCAAGGAAGAACACAAAAAAAAACCACACAAATCTCAGATGTCAGTAGAAGGGTTTTTGCACAAATCTTCATATAAATCTTTATCTAAGAATAGAAAGGCAGCTCTGTCAGGTTTTTGTTGATTGATTAATGTGGAATAACAGCTTCATTTTCTGTAATACGGCCGATTTAAAGCATTAAAGCTGCAGAGCAGAGGCAGCATTGCAGCAAAGTCTTAGACAGGCGGTAGATCATTGAAGGTAATTGGTACCTCTGCATTTTATCTGCTGGAATTATTGGTTAGATGCAACACGTTGCAGTGAGAAGGTGAAGAGCAGCAACTGCCACAAACAGCCGTCGGCGTGATCCGCCGAGCACATCAGAGCGTTTCAGATCTATTTGTAGCAGGATGAATGAATGAAGCCCAGTTTCTAAGGGCTGTGGGTGAACGATGCTGCGTCGCCAGAGCTTTGAAACGCACACATGCAGGTTGGATCAGTCAGTGAATCCGCTGGAAAAGAGTTCCTTTGTTCACCCCAAAAAATAAAAATCTAAAGAAGTTATTTTTTTTTTCTTAAAATAAGTTCATTTTTTTCTTAAACTGAGTAGGGAAGTAAAACACTTTGCCAATGGAACAAGACAATTTACATTTAAAATAACAAAAAAAAAAAAAAACAATTGTATTGTCTTATTTCAAGTGCATATTGTCTAATGATCTTGCTTTAAGAGTAAAAATACTTCTTTCATTGGCTGATCATATTATTTACCTACTCATTTTAAGGGTAAATAAACTTTATTTAAGATAATGTTTACTTGTTTCTAAATCGTTTTTGCAGTGTTTGAAGTTTGGACGAAACAATTCAAGTCTCACACACTGGAAAATATCCAAATCTAGATAAGTTAATATTTCTTAAAATTCCATTGGTAAACCTTCTCATTTACCTACTGAAATTAAGGGTAAATACACTCACTTTAAGAAATTTGTACTTATTTCTAGATTGTTTTTCCAGAGGCAGAAGGATGAAATCTGTGAAGATTTCAATAATATGCTTGTATTTCTGCTCCCTAATGAGGAACCTAACGGGTTTCTGTTTTTCTGTGGTTTTTGAAAATTATTTGCTTTTCTGATTTTGGTGCAGGGTGTGTGGTCACTGCTAAAAATGATCCAAGAAACAGTCAAATGTCCAGAAATAAATGGATTCGTCTCTAATTTGAGCAGGTAAATCCGATGATATGTTAACCTAAAGACATTTAAGCACTTAAAATAAGATAATGGATTTTACACTGGAAAAAAGATCTAGAAATAAGTAAAAATGTCTTAAATTAAGTGTATTTACCCTTAGTTTGACTTGGTAAATGAGAAGTTTGCCAGTGGAATTAGTATTTTTACTCTTAAAATAAGATATTCAGATAAAATGCACTTGAAATTGGACACTGAAATAGTTTTTTATTATTTTAAACGTAAATTGTCTTGTTCCATTGGCAAAATGTCTCTTTTACTTCCTCAATTCAAGAACAACTGCACTATTTTAAGAAAAAAATGACTTATCTAGATTTTGATTTTTTCCATTGTATGTTTTGTTTTAAAACATAAATTAAATCATCCCTTTGGAAAATTCTCCTACTTACCTGCTCAGATCAACTTATTTCAAGAAAAATTGACTTTTATTTTACAGTAGAGTTATTTTAGGTGACGCACAGGAACTGACATCCTCTAAAGAGAAGAACATTCCTTTATATCAAAAAGCAGCTCAGTTATTGAGGAACATCAATGAAATAAAACTGTTTTTCATCTTCAGAATGATAGAATTTCATCTGCTGTTTAAGAAGGATATAAATCCACAACCTTTTCTGGAGGAACGGACGTAAAATCAGAGTGAATGCTGATACTGTTGCATAAAAAGACAGATTGAGAATTGTACCATAAAGCTGTTATTTTATTGTAAAATATTTACATGTGTAATTATTAGTATATTTGGGAAAATAATGTATGGATGAATTTATTAGTGTGTTTGATAAATCAATCTAAAGGTTTTTTTTGGTGCTGTTGTTGTGAAATATTTGTGAAACGTGTTATACAGACGTGCCTATATATTATGTTAACGGCTACAAACAAAGTGTTTTTTTGTTTTTTTCATATGTGTTGCTGCAAATGATGTTATGACGCATTTCATGACCTCTTATAAAACCAGCCTCATAAGTCGGCTCCTAACGTGGCTTGCTGATGTGATTACTGCTTTTGTTTGTCAGGAAACGTGAGGAAGTGATGGATGGAAATTAAAAGCCCATCAGATTACAATGATTAGATCCAACAAAGCGAAAGAGCTGTAAAACCCAGATATGGCGGCCATTAGAACATTTAAAGAACGGGTCAGAAAGAGCTTTTTATTTCCTTAGAAATGTCCCTATGCAAAGCAACAAGGGACGCAAAACAGTCGGTTCCACGGAAACGGCCCGGATTACAAATTACTCTGAGAGGAAAAGTGAAAAATTTGAGACTGGAATTAGCACATAGTTGGACTGCAACAAATGCTGTGTGAGGATAGCTTTGCTTTTGCAACCCCACCCCCACCCTCCCCTCACACAAACACTGAAACACATCCAGCACCGTTTCCAGAGCAGGGCAGGTGCAAGTAGCGGCTTTTGTCTCTCCCACTCACAGGCCTGCACACATTTGCTAATTGTCAAAACAGTGAGTGTTTTAATTTTAGATTTCTCACAATGCGAGGGCCAAGGTGACAATATGCTATTTTTCTAAACCATCCCAATGCCCATAGATTTTGTCTGATTCCTGACAGCAGCCTTTCAGACCAGCTTTCACCTTTTACCCCAAAAATCAAGGAGAAAAAATTAGATGTTTATTCCTTATCATCTGTTATTGCAGTAGGTCCATAAATACAGAGCAACAGAGGGAGGCGGCGTGCTCTGAGGCCATCTTACTAATTTTTCCCCCTTAAATTTTGTTTTTAATCAAGCTGTTGTAATTATATTCCTTAAACGACCCAGAAGGCATAATTTTTAGGAATAGGAAAACAATTATTGTTAAACATGGTACAGACTTCACCTGATTGGAACAGCAAAAAAATTTGCAAGGATGTAAAAGATCTTTTTCAGTTGTGCTGAAATTGGATGCGAGGTTGTTCAGTTTGCGAGAATATTTAATTTAGATAATTACATTTAAAAGATAAAACACTACATCTTAAATGGCTTTTAGGAGCAGCAGCCATTTGTAATAAAGCATTATTCTCTGAATTTCCAGAGTTAGCCTCTGTGGTTGTTTTAGTTGTGTTTTCAAGCCCCACCTTCTGAAATTTTCTTTATTTTAAAAGCAAAAAAACAAATTTACACACAGGAAAAAAAAAATTATAAGTTTAAATGAGATATAATGCTTATGCATTCCCACTTATTGTTTTGCTCTTTTTATTTTTCTAACTTTTCAACCAATTACAACTGGTATCAACCAATATTTTGGCATCAAAACGCTCAGCTTGTTCAGGAGAATTCTGCTATGTCTTTTGGTAAAGATATGTTTTGTAGTTTTCGCGATATGCAGCCTTTTCTGCGTTTTTGTTGTTGTTGTTTTTTTGGCCCATTGAAATGCTTATAGAATTCTCACATTTCAGCAAGATTCAGTTAAAACTTCACCATCTTTGACCTTTAACCACTCCAGCATACTTTCAGCTAGAAACACCATTCAACTTTTAAAATGTTCATCAAAGATTCAGCTATTCTGATTTAACTCAGGTTCTATATCTTTAGCGGTTTTTATGAAATTGGGATTCAAACTTTACGCAAATTATTTCAGGTTTTCAATTTTATAATGGAAGTCTATGGGCGGAATTCTTCAACTGCTAGAGTGCGCGCTCTAGCTTTTGAGCCGGTCTGGTTTTTCCGAACAAATTCTTCTCACTCGCTCATTTTTTACTCAATTTAAATAATTTATACATCAAAACGTAGGAATTTTTGTCAGGATTCAGGAAATTTTACCCTTATTGGTGTGGGGGATACAGTTTTCCTCCAGTTTGGCCCAGCCCTCAAAGAAGTCCACACTCCCCCAATAGAAATCCAATGAGAGACTTTCCAAAAATCACAGACGAAAATCCAATGATACGAAAACATGGGTTTTCGTATCATTTCTCAAACATTAGATGTAAAAACATGAAACTTGGTATAGAACATCTCCAGACCCTTCTAGCACTCACATTGAAGGAATTTTGTTGATATCATTTATGGTTTAGCTTTTAGCTGAGCTGTTTGGGTATAGGAAAATGTTGATTTTGGGGAAAAAGTCTCAGATTGAAATCTTTCAAAATAAACTACATTTTTACATCGTCATCGTGGCCAAATAGTTTTTGACAGAAACATGTAAGTTGGCATATTTGTTCATCAAAGCCTCCTGATTCCTACAGTCCAAACATTATTTCTGTATCTTTTATAGTTTTTCATTTATTAAACATAATACAACACACACTTTTGTCAATTTTTCAAATTTTGCCAATTTCCCTCTTTTTTTCACAGAGTGCTGTGTCTTTTCAAAAACATTCCGAACAAAACGAGCCCTAAAGCTTCGTTCCCCAATCCGTCCTGAATTAAACGGTGCAAAATTGACATCTGTACGACTTATTATGCCAGAGTTACAGGCATTTGTTCGGCAGGACATCATACAGGCGATTAAGCCAGAAAATAATGGCAGACAGTGGCTTAACAGCACCTCGCTGCCTCTCCCAAATTGTTTGATGTAAAAACATGAAACTTGGGAGATATCATCATCAGACCCTTCTAGCATTTCACGTTGAAGGAATTTTTTTGATATCATGTATGGTTTGGCCGTGCTGCTAGTTTGTTCGGGGGCATCAAGTCAGTCAAATTTCCACCTGAAATCTTTCAAAATGACACCCTTTTTTACATTGTTACCATAGCAACATATTTTTTTGTAGAAAAATGAAAGTTAGTAAATTTGATCATCAACACCTGCTAATTCCCACAGTCTAGTAATTATTTCTGTATCTATGATTTTTTTTATTTATTAAACATAGTTCAACTCTTTTTTCACAGAGTGCTGTGTCTTTACAAAAGCATTTTGAAC